GAACAAAAGTAAGAGAAATTTAGGATAAGAATACGAACATGTTCTTGCATGAGGCCCATTGTTATTCTGGACGGGCAACTTCTGTGCCTGTGTCAAAACTCTGGCAGACCTTAACAAGCTCCTCTCAAGAATTGTATATGTTGCACTAGCTGTGTATGACCTCTGGACATAAGGGATGAAAACATATATGCATTCAGTTCTGTTCAGTTCACTGACTTAAAATTTGTTGAAATATTTGTTTACAAATCAACAAGATAGAAAACCAAGGGAATACATATTTGCAGCCTATTGTATTTCTTTTTACTTACTTTTTTATTGCTTTTCAACATTACAGCAAAACGAACAGCAGACTTGAACTTGAACAATAACAGAAGCACAACATAGGGAACAAAACAGGAAAAAATGCAACAAGCAAACATAAAGAAACACATATATAGATTACATTGTTTTTGACAAAACACAAGTAGAATTTCATAGGCAAAGGGTTATCACCTCTAGCATCCCTCTCGACACCCCTCACAGACACCACCTCCCAACATCCCAGGTAATTTTCACAGATAAAACACAGCTCCCATCCACCTACAAATTCCTCCACACTGTCCCTCCAAGCATCCCTCTTGTACAAAACTCATGTAGGGACCCCACAATTCTAAAATTTTTTCCTCATTATTGTTCTGTCTAAAATCAGTTGCCCATTGCATTATCATGCCTAAAACACATAGGGCATGCAGCCTATTGTGTTTCTAAACATCTACACTGTCTGCATGTCTAATGTTTATTTTAAGTGTCCCACATGAAGTTGTCAATCATGTAAAATTCACTCGTTACTCCTCTGTGCTATGCTAATCATTTCATCACTCTTTCTACAAGGCCTTAATATATTTATTTTCCTCTTTTCAAACAATTTTATTGCTATTAATAAACATCCCAGTTTTTCAGTTTCACAGTGAAAGAGGCTTACAAACTAAATCCACATGGGAGGGCTGTTTTGCAGCATTCCACTCTTACCCTCCTCTCTCAACACCCCACTTCTTCTTTTTTATTTTTTTGGAGCACCCAGATGCACATAATGTTTGCAGTTCTGCATGGAAATGAGACGGCGGAGCTAAACTTTACTCCCCTTCTGCCCTTTCTGTCTCTTTCATGATTGTATGCCTCAGAGAGTGACAATTTAAAGCYATAGTCTAATCTTCTTGGATTGTTTTGCATGGGTAAATATTTTGAGGCGCTTAATCTAACTGAATGTAATGATGCATTGATGGGGGTAATTTATTATTCAATCAAGCTCACATGGTGGCTGATTACTGGAGTGATGGTACTGTATATGTGTATGTGGGGCGTAAACATACTCACACACATACACACCTACTTATCCAGTCATCAGCTTTCGGTGTCAGTTTGTGACTGATTTTTTATTTATTTATTTATTTTTTCTAAATTACAATAAGAACACAGATGTGTTCAAATCCTGGAGAGGGGATTTGATGCAGAATATGTGCTTTGCTTTTATGACACCGCTTAAATAAAGTCATTGTTGTGATGGATTCAGCTTAGCCTCTTTAACAAAATCTTCATGATTGGATGGATGAATGGATGGATTCTGTCACTTTTAAAGTTTGATTGTGTGCTAAAATGGTTGATAATAGGGAGAACTATCAACATGCTTCACCSTTGAGAAACAAACTTATACAATTAAGTGAGTAATAAAAATAAGACAAAACAAAAAGTGACGTTTGGTGAATCTTTAGTTAACCTATTAACATTTGATWTCTGCATTTTATTATTTTTCATCCTGGCAAAGATAGAATTCTCCTTCCAGGTTGGTGGTGAGTTCGGCTATTTGAGACTTGCTCATGAGTGATGGAAGGATGGYGCAAGAGATGGGTCAACAGATCTGGTCTCATCTGCAGTCATAGAGATGCTTCATTTCTGTTCTGTGGACAAGGTGGAGCTGAGTCACAAGACAAAGCCCTCAATTTTATGGTCTATCTATCAACCATCGCCTGTGGTTATGAGTTAGAGATCATGGCCAAAAAAAATCAAGATCCTGTATTCAAGCAGCTAAAATGAGCTTCTTGAAGCGTGGGTGAGCTCAACCTTATGAATTGGGTGAGCAGCTCTATTATCTACAGGAAGCTCAGTGTTAAGTATCTGCATCTTTGCTTCAAAACAGGTCACCTGACATAGTTCAGGAATTGCATGTCAACCTCTGGAGCTTTTCCAGGCATGTCCAACTGGGAGGAGACTTTAGTATAGACCAAGCACTTGCTGGAGGAATTATGCAATCGATCTGGCTTAGAAACACGTTGSAGTCTCCCAGGAAACACTAGAGAGTTTCACTGTGAACAGGAATGTCTGGGTTTCCCTTCTAGATGATTTGATTTTGTGACTTGAACAAATAAGCAGCAGAATTTGTTAGGTGAGGTTTTAATTTGATCATTATCAGCAGCTGCTGACACAGCCTATGTTCTTTACTGTTTTTGTTTAAGATCCTGCTTGCTAATTATATAAAGAAGAAAAAAAATCCAGAGTATTYTAGACTGAAAATAGACATCCCCTTCTGCCTCTGGCATCTGATGCCAAAGTTTGGCTATTCCTCTAAATGCTTGTCAGTYCAGTTAGGACCACTGACAAAGTGGATTAAACAGCTCTTGTGTCTGGAAATATTGAGCTCTGTCTGGGCTTATTTGAATAATTTAGCTCACTTGAGACAGTGTGTGTGTGTGTTTGCTTACTTGGTACTTCATTTCCTGGAAAACCTCCCAGGTGCCTGATTCATCATCTCAGTCCTTCTTGTTGAGTCAACCCATGTCCTTTCACCCCTAACCACACACACACTCAAACACACAGATTAGAGTGTGGATGGGCTCCACAAACATAGGGTTTCACTCGCATAAACTTTAGGCAAACAAGAGTCTGTGTAATGTTTCTTTAATTTCTCACAATCTGTATCACCTACTGGTGTTATTGCAGGTTTTTATAGATAATATAAAGTCTTTCRTCTATTACTTTGCTCAGCAGTTAGCCACACTGACCCCAACTCTCCCTATCATCTTTTGGCAAACAACACACTCTCCTGATATCACTATATCTTCAGAGTCATGACAGTACACCATTGTACATGGATCTCTTATCATGTTAAAGCTAATGCWTTTCTGTCTGCATGACCTTCCTCCTTTTCCATTCTGTCCTCCTGCTTTATCTCCTGCAGAGCACAGAACATCTTCAGGCAGGCCATGCGCTCCCGGGTCATCCTCTTCCATGTGGTACCTGCGTCCATGAAGCGGCCGTATGAGCTGCTGTCGGCGCAGAGCGAACCCAGCACGCCCCAGTCGAGTAGGGTCCGCTTTAGCCAGGACTCACAGCATTCAGCGAACAGGTCAAGTCTGGTTGCAGGGTTTCCATCTAAATCTGGACAACTACCAGGTCTAAACCACAAGTGAGTTCCTCTCTTACCTTTTTATTTGTTTTATTTCAGCAATAAAGAGACAGTCTGCATGGCAATAAAGATTATTTAAAGTGACAGACATGACAGTGTTTAGGAATAAAAATTGTGGTGTCTTTATACCAATTTTTTCTCAAACCAAGAATGAGTATGAGTATTTCCATTTGGGGACTCAGTATTGTGGCATTTTGTACGAGCAGAAATTTTTAAAAAAGAGATGGGGTGAGAAGCTCGGTCATCCGGGAGGGYCTCTCAGAGTAGAGCCGTTCCTCCACGTCGAGAGGAGCCAGTTGAGATGGCTGGTTAAGATGCTTCCTGGACGCCTCCCTGATGAGGTGTTCCGGGCACGTCCCACTGGGAGGAGGCCCAGAGGAAGACCCAGGACATGCTGGAGGGACCATGTTTCTTGGCAAGCCTGGGGATGCCTTGGAATTCTCCCAGAGGAGCTGGCTCAATTGGCTGAGGAGAGGTTTCTGCTTAGGCTGCTGCCCCTTCAACTTGACCCTGGATAAGCGAAAGATAATGGATGGATGGATGGATGGATGGATGGATGGATGGATGGATGGATGGATGGATGGATGGATGGATGGATGGATGGATGGATGGTATCAGTACAGATACTGAGACACCAATAAAAATAGTGCTTGTTTTTCTGTTTGGGTTCTAACTCAGTAAGTACTTGGTATCAGCAAGTACCCAGATTAAAGTACTCCTACTCATTCTTTGTTTTAGAAAAACTGGTATTAAGACACAACTCATTGCATACTATCTTTGATGCACATTTTGGTTCTTGTCAGGTAAGATTCATTTTCTCAGCCAATTAATCATTTTTTTCTTTGGCATCGTTATTTTTCTTTCCCCTCCTTTTTTACAAGCTGTCCCTGTTGGTGGGTGTAAACCCTTAAACACTGTGTTCTTTCTGTAGTCACCAGAGCCCCCTGGCTGGAAGCACCCCAGATCCAAGTCGACGAAATGTTACTTTACCCCACATCGCAGTCTCCAGAACTTCCTCGGCCCTCTCACCCTCCCTTCAACGTAGAGTAAGCACAACCGCATCCAACAGCACCTACCTGAAGAAAAAAGGCCGCAGCTTCAACATCAAGCTGAAAAAAGGTAATGTATAGCAAACAAGTGTAGGACTGTAAAAGTCCAAGTCTTTCCACATTTGTAACATAAATTTACTATAGCTATGCCCAGTAGATGCAAAATATACAGAATATTTTATATGTGTTTAGACTCTTTCTCAAGAAGTCTAACCCATTGTCTTTTACCTGAGAACCATGGGGTCCCCAGGAAAGAAGGATTATCCTATTCATTAACAGAGAAGACATATTGTCATTATCTCACATTTTTTTCCAACCAAATAAATGGTTGAAGAACTTTTGGCAGCCTTTTTGGAAATATTAAAAATGCTGTTATTTGATTTGGGGTTTCATTTAGCCAAGCTTTTGGGGCAAAAGGTTGGTTAAACAAAGCCCAGTGCTGACAGCACAGTTCCAGCTGTACATCACTGTGGTTGACGAAATATGAAGTTTTACAACCCATCTGCTTCCATCTAAAATTGGATTTGTTTTGTGAACTTTGGCGGTCCTTCAACACTAAAACCATTTTTTTTCTTAGTGGTGAACTTACTTTGAAGTCCTAAGTCATTTCTATCAGTTTAGTTTCAAAGTAAAACATTGGTAAGGTGATATGCCAACACTTTTTTTTTGCTACTTTTTTTGTCTTTTGGAAGGGAAGCAGATGTTTTGGTGTGAACTGGAAAATAAGATTTTTGCAGAGAGTTTTAGGAGAAAGTGTGGTCATCTCTACCAGATAAATGCAAAAAAACTTAGGGGTATTGTAGTCACAAGGTGCTTTCTATTATGCATTTACTGAGCACTGTCAGCACATTTTCTTCACATTTAATTCCAATGTGCAATTGGTACTGTATTGACTGTAATGTGAGCTCATTTGCCTGCTTTCTATGCATTT